AATCCTGCAGAGAACAGAAGAGAGTGTCAGATCCCCAGGATCTAGAGTTATAGATGGTTGTTAGCCACCATGTAGGCGCCAGGAACCAAACCTACATTCTCTGGAAGAGCAGCTAGTGCCCTTAACTGTTGAGTCTTCCTTCCAGTCCCTCATCCCCATTTGTCTCAACTAGTTTAAGTAGGATCCTCTTACTGCCCCCCCCAAAGTCCTCAGTATTGTGAAGAGCCTTCAAGACCCCATTCCCAGGTAACAAAGTTATTTACAACTTACCAGTGTTTTTTAAAGTTTTACAAACTTTTGTTTGTGGTACTGCTGGGGATTGAACCCAGGGTCTCATGCATGGTAGGCAAGCCCACTACTACTGAACTATACCTCCAGCCCCAGTGATTTTGTATTATGAGATTGTGAGGTAAATGTTTCTTTTCTAAATTATTTATGTGTACGAGTGTATTGCCTGCATGTATGTAAATGTACCCATGTCATGCAATGCTTGCAGTAGTCAGAAGAGGCATTGGATCCCCTGAAACTGGAGTTATAGATGGTTGTTAGCTGCCATGAGCATGCTGGGAACTGAACCCAGGTCTTCTGCAAGGGCAGCCAGTGTGCTCTTCACTGCTGACATCTCTCCAGCCCCAAGGTAGACATTTCTATGACCTTGATATTATAGGCAAGTTCACCAGAGCTCAAAGAGGGGACAGAGTTTGCTTAAGGTCAATAAATTATGAATTAGGAGAGCTGGTCACCACAGTTTGCTGGGGTTGTGCACACACAAGCGCTGCCAAGTAGTCCAGGGTAGTTTCAGGACAGGATACTATGGGAGAAAGAGGAAGGTAAAGACCAAGTTCTTCCACCCCAACTGTATTTATAGCAGGGTTAAGAGGAAGCTCTCGGTTTTTGTCTTCCTCCTTCCAGTCCTGTTTCTTGTTTCTGTAATCCATGTCAGGCTTGTAGTTCGCACTATAATTCAGCTACATTCTAGGCAATTACAGGTTGAAGGACGACCCTGCAAAGTAAATCACTGGTTACAATGCAACCCTTTTATCAGTTGGGGCTGTCTTTATCCTAATTCCTTTTAGTTTTTAATGAACAAAAATAAGTAGATGCATATCCGATACTCTGGGAAGCTACTGCATTGCTATAAGCAGGGGAAAGCATGGTGGATCTTATAGGGCAGTGGGAGCTGGCAGGTAGGTGTCAGATATAGCTGTTTACTGAGCCTGCTGGGGGTGGGGTGGGTCATAGTGACTTTGTGGGCCAAGGGTAGACAACCCTTCCTTTTCACCTCTGGCAGCAGTGTGGTCAATTGGTCCAGAAAGGAAATGTCCCTAGAGTCTGCTCAGTCTGCAGGACTCTGTGACATCACCAGTCCTTGGTTCTCAGTGGTGGCTTTATCGTCTGCATTCATAACCTTTTCACCTCCAGGATTGCCCAGAAATCAGTAGGTGAGAATGATCATCTTCCCTTCGTTGGAAACCCTTGCCCTCTCCTTCATAATGGCAGGGTAACTCCATCAAAGGTGACCCCTCCATTAGTGCTCAAATTCTAGCTCTGTTCATCTGTTTATCAGAATCATCACTCTTTCCTCCTCTGAGAAATCATTATTAGCACTGTACAAACCTCCTGTAATATCTCCTACATTCTAACCCCCCCTGTAGGCTAACATGTTTAAATTAAATATGGTGGGCTGGATGTGGAGGCACATGCCTTTAGTACCAGCACTCTCAAGCCCTGTGAGCCCTGTGAGCTAGAGGCCAGCTTGGTCTGCATAATTAGTTCAGGCCAGGCCAGCCAGGACTACACGGTGAGACTGTCTTGATGATGATGATGATGATGATGAAGAAGAGCCCTGGCTAAGGAAAGCATATGACTCTCCTTTAAAGCCAATTTGGAATTTGCACATGGACTCTTCTCCTTATTGGTTGGAACTGAGTCACATGGCCATATATAGCTACACAAGAGGCTGAGCCATTTGCCTTTATTTGGGAAGCCATGTGGTCAGCTAGAATTGGAAATTATGTTCTGAATGGCAAAAGGAGAGGCTGGCTATTAGGGCTGCCTAGCGATCTCCACCAAAGCCTCCCACATCTTTAGTTGGATCGCTTCTTGTTCTCTGTTCCCTATTGGATCATCCATGTGCAACAGCTCTAGTGCTGTCTGGCTTCTAACCCACTGCTCAAGGACCACTGCCCTTACCACACTCACCAGTGATGCTGTCACAGCCAGTGGACAGTTCTCAGTCCTCATCTTATCTGAGCCCCAAAGAGTGTCTAACACAGTGAACTCCTTTTGGGAAATACTTCACTTTCTCAGACTTGGGGATAGAACTCCTTTGTTATCTGCAGTCTGTTTTTCAGTATTATTTCTTGCTTTGAGTCATCTCTGACTCCCTGGGTCCCTACCATCCCTCCCCTCAACCTTCTCTTCCCCATCTGCCCTTCTTCTCCTCATAGGCATGCTTCTCATATTCCATGGCCTTTACCACCTGATGGTCCCCACAAGCCCCACCTTCAACCCAGACCCCTTGTGCCGGATAGCTTCAGTGTCAAATTGACACACCTGGGTTGAGGGAGTCTCAATTGGGGAATTGCCTCTATTGGACTGGCCTGTAGCCATGTCTGAGGGGGATCTTCTTAATGAGTGATGTAGGAGGGCCCAGCCCACTGTGGGTAGTGCCACCCCTGGGCAGGTGGGCCTATGTTGCATAAGAAAGCAGACTGAGTAGGGGCCAGGGAAACAAGCCAGTAAGCAGTTTTCCTCCAAGGCCTGTGTTCCAGCTCCTGATTCCAAGTTCCTGCCCTGAGTTCCTACCTTGGGCTCCCTGATGAACTGCAACCTGGGAGATATAAGCTGAATATACCCTTTCCTCCCCAAGTTGGTAGTGGTCAGAGTGTTTTGTCACAGCAATGAAGAAACAAACCAGAACACCCCTTTTCTGTGTTTTCAGTGACTGGACAATCCCACTGGATGCCTAACAGGCACCTCCAAGTCAACGTGGCTAAAACGAGATTCTTGCTGTTCCTCTGAAATGTGGTGGTTTTCCTCAAGGCCACCCCATCCAATAAATGAGGCACTGTTCACCCACTCACTGGGAGAAACTTGAACGCTACCCCTTCATTTCTCAACTTCCTCCACCCACATCCATCTTATTGGCATGTCTTAAGTCCAAAATAGTATCTCAAGTACTCATTTTAGCATGCCCACCACTTCAGTTCAACTCACCCTCATACTTGGCCTGGATTAAGGCAAAGGTTCAATTGGCTCCCTACTTCATTTTTACCTGACCCCACTAAACTTACTCCACACCTCCCAGCAGAAAACCAGAACATGTTAGTCTTCCTCATAAACCCTTCAATGGCTTAACAAAAAGGCTCCATCCTGCCCGGTGTGGTGGTGCACGCCTTTAATCCCAGCACCCAGGAAGCACAGGCAGGTGAATTGCTGTGGGTTAGAGGCAAGCCTGGTCTACCTACATAGTGAGTTCCAGGGCAGCTGGGGCTACAGGGAGACCCTGTCTCAAAAAAAAAAAAAAAAAAAAAAAAAAAAAAAGCTCCATCTCTTGATAGTACCTGCATATCCTGGTCCCCACTTCATCGGGAGCCCGGAGTCTTTTATCCAGGTTGACAATCTAGCCCTTGATTTTCTTTCAGCTCCACGACACATCTAGTGTTTGCCCTTTTCTGTGCCTTGACACCTACTGCTCTCAACATGTATGGTTGCTGCACCACCAGCAGACCGCAAGGCATGGTAGTCACATAGAAGACACCCAATCAAGCACTTGCAGTTTTCTGATGGTGACAGCACAGACAGGCTTCCTTGCCTAGTAGGTCCCTCCCTGAGCTGTCTGGGGTGTTCTACAGACAGGTTGCATTCCCTTTCTAAATAATCACAACAACCAGTGGAATGGAACAAACACCTTCCATTTCAAGATTTTTCTCATTACAATAAACACCTCTTGACTGAAAATATTGTGCCAGTTTTATACCAGTTTTGTGTTGCCCAGTGGGGCAGATCATCTGGCCTTCAGCTCCCGGAACCCCACGAGTTTAAGAAAACTGCAGCAAGTTTGTGTTTAGCTCTGTAGATAGGCAGGCGGGGACTGGGGAGCTCTGCCTTTCATCACAGCGGTGTGGACACCTCTGTACACCTGCCTGGCCTTGTGGACTTCCGGCCTGCAAGACTCAGCCCGGCCATCTCCTCATAAAGGTGAGGAACAAATCTCAGCAGGCGATCCAAAGAAAGCTTAGTATTTTTAGCACCAGACAGGAAGGAGCGAGTCTTTACCGCTAGGCTGCAAAGAAATCTCAATTTACTACCCCCTTCTAGCAGATTACACCCACCTCCAGTTCCCCAAGGCCCGGCAGTAACGCCTTCCATCTTAAACCCAGCCATTTTCCTAATCCTTCGTCCACCTCTACGCAGTCTCCACGTGCATCCCTAGAAACAAGGCTTCCCGCAGCTCGCACTTCTCTGCTCGGCTCCAGCAGAGGCGTTTCTGCGTCGCACCGGCGACCACAAGTGCCTGGCACGAGTCCACGCTCCTCCCGCGTTGCTAACCTACAAAAACGGTGGACTAAAGCCACTCACGCCCGGGGTACCGCCCCGAGCCGAACAAAGGGGCGGGTCAGCTATCCACCTCCCCACCCCCAGTACCAAGGGCCTGGAGGGAGGGACGAGCAGCGAGGTGGGGGGGCAAGGGCAAGGAGGTAGGGGCGGGGCGGAGAGTGGGCGGGCCGAACGTCCTAGGAGGGAGCCGCG